CCATTTTGATTTGCAGGGGAGGGGCCTGTTCCCTCTGATATGGAGCCTTTTGGCGGGTTTCACATCAGTTGGGAGGGCTAGTGTTTTGCAAAGGTTGGTTTCACCAATTATTGAATTTGATCATGCTGCTTGCTCCACTGCTTACGCACATCCATCCTTCACCTCTGATTGATGCCTCCTGTTCTACGCCCGGCCCACCACAAAAATCCAAGCAAACAGGAAGCCTCCACCAAAAAGGTGGGGGCGGTATTGTGGATCGACAAAATGTCCACTTGGCGATTTCCAGGCGTAGAGCACCACCTCACAGGGGAACGGTCGTTCTGTTGAAACCATCGAGTCCCCCTAGAGCGCCTTCCGCAAGCTTGGCGACCATATATTTGTGGGGGCCCTTCAATGGTTTCATGAAAGGACGCCTGACACCACGGTGAATGTGAACCCCTATGTTTAAGGCTGAGGATCCTGTTTATTGGACCCGATGATTTAAAAACAAGCTAGCTGGTGTTCGGAAGACAGCCATGACGGAGCTGGTATCCAAATTTGCTTTCGAGGAGTTGAGCAGGGAGCCTTTCACAGCCACCAGGGGACATGGTACTCGTAAGCGGTTCTCGCGGATTCGGAGCGCCATCCGCCAGCTTCTTGGGCCAAAAGTCGCACGGTCTCGGTCGCTAGGAAGGGGTGGAGGAGCGGCTTCCCCCGGCCTACAGAGAGGTGCTGAAGCAGGCAGGTCTGCTCAGCTACCTTGCCATTTAGCTTAAGCCAAAGCATTATTTGTTGTTGTTGTTGTTGTTGTTGTTGTTGTTGTTGTTGTTGTTGTTGTTGTTGTTGTTGTTGTTGTTGTTGTTGTTGTTGTTGTTGTTGTTGTTGTTGTTGTTGTTGTTGTTGTTGTTGTTGTTGTTGTTGTTGTTGTTGTTGTTGTTGTTGTTGTTGTTGTTGTTGTTGTTGTTGTTGTTGTTGTTGTTGTTGTTGTTGTTGTTGTTGTTGTTGTTGTTGTTGTTGTTGTTGTTGTTGTTGTTGTTGTTGTTGTTGTTGTTGTTGTTGTTGTTGTTGTTGTTGTTGTTGTTGTTGTTGTTGTTGTTGTTGTTGTGTTGTTGTTGTTGTTGTTGTTGTTGTTGTTGTTGTTGTTGTTGTTGTTGTTGTTGTTGTTGTTGTTGTTGTTGTTTTGCTTTCCCCCTCTTGGTTTTATAGGGAATCCATCACTACTGGGAGTACTTTGTGTTTGTGTGTGTGTGTGTTTTTTTCTGCTGGGCTTACGCAAATGGCAGGTAAGTGTTGCCGGACGGCGTGTGTTTTTTGAGAAGTCGGAGAAGGGTAATTGCCGTTTTGAGTTGTTGTTCAGGGAAAAGGGGAACGCAATTGTTGTCCCCTGTTGGCGCACACCCATGCAGGGAGCTCCCTGTAAAACTAAGCCTTATTAATAAACTTATTAGTGCTCCCTTTGCCCCAACAGGTCTGGGTATTGCCAGACTTACCTTTCGATCAATCCGGTCCAGATATGCGGAATAGTTTAGTCTTGAAGGTTGAGAAAACATGAGCCAAAATGTGAACCTGGACCCTCAACTACCCTTAACAAATTGAAACCACCCGATTTTGGGGGGACAACGGCTCATGTGTATGGGTAGCTTGAGGGGGGAACATATCTTTGGAGTAAATTGGGCTTGGGCCAATGCAACCTGAGCATTCCTTTGCAGCATCTCCATGACAAACTCCTCTTGCTGTGTTGGCCGGATGTATCACCATATCATCAGTCTGTAACAGTTCGCATCGTTGTTGTCATCCTCAAATCTTCAGCGTTTTTTTAAGCCACCTTCAATGATTCAACTAAACTGAGACTACAGTGAGTCTGGTGGATGGATTGCCATCAGGCCCATGCGGAAGTGTCCATCCTGATGAATGCGGGTCGTGCCTCTGTCAAGGCCAATGGCCCAATGGCGGAAACCGGATGGGTTTTTCCCGTGAATCATAGTATGTGGAGGATGTGGATGGACAAATTCCCCTTCGCACTCCATAGGACGTTGGGGAATCATCAGAACCAGGGTTTCTGAACGGTGGAGCCGGATTTTGTTCTTATGTCAGCCAGTCGTCCAATTCCAGGGCTCCCCGAGTTCACGGGGTTTCGCTCGTACCCCCGAAGCAGATTGGAGAGCGGGGAACGCATATTGCCCCAAAAGAATGGACAAATGTGGGTTTAGTTCAAAATAGGGGTGCCTTCATGGTTGGTGTCCTTTATGCTTCCCTGTAAAAACAAAAACAGAAAGGGAACCTCCCACTACCATGGCACCGGGGGTCGCTTTGAAAGGAAACTGATCTTCCACGTGGTTACAGGTGCCTTCTGTTTGTGGGAGGAAGGGGGTACTGAAATCAATGTTCAACAAAAAGCCGACGAGCCGCCCTCCAAGGATTGCGTTGGGCTGAAGCTTTGACGCCCACCGAACCGAAAGGTGGTGGCATCCGGCTGGGACTCCGTGCGCTGGAAGGAGGGCCACCGCTCCCAGGGGCGTGTTTCAGGTAGGAAAACGTGGGGCGTTTGCAGTGAGAACGCACGCAGGTTTCTTAAGAAGTGGAAACCAGGGTAAATGTGTTTGCTACAAGCAGCGTTTTACTTGAGAGGTGGAAAAACAGTGTAAATGGTTTGTTCTGTGCCTAGTAGAAACATTGAGAAGTAACCCATGCACATCCAGAGATGGTAAATGTGTGCCAAGCAGGTCTTTGCGACTGGTAAGGACAAATTTCAACCCCTTGATGTTAGGCTGGGAAATGCAATGCCTCGTTTGTGTAATGGTGCTTTTGTTATTTGGTTTTGTGATTTACGTACTGATTTGGTGATGTGTCATTATGTTGTCATAGATGTCATGGAAACTGGTATTCGTGTTGCGCGTTGGACAAAGGATGTTTCTGAGTCATGTGGTTTGTCTTCGGTGAACCAGAAGCTTCCACCTGCAACCAAGAAGGAGATGATGTTTAGCCCGGGAGCAGTATGAAGCAAATGATCTGCGAGTCACCTGAGCCTGATAGATGTTTTGCCTGCGGATGTCAAAAAAATTGAGTACCCTTTGACATTTGATGAATGCACCTACATAGAAAGCTCTCCAACCAGCACACAAGAAGGCTGCCAAGAGCTGTTTGCATACAAAACTCGCAACACATGTTTTGCCAGAGCGCAGTAGTCATGTGATTTTACACACGGTCAACACATTGGTCTCCCCAGATGCCCAAAGCCGCACCAACTTAAATGGCAAAGTTCGGAGGTCCGAGTTGGTTCTCAGGCAAGTTGTAGCACCCTAAGGCTTTGGTTTACAACAACATATTACTCATGAAGTCTCCTTTCATCCATGCAATTTTGTGTTTGTGCCTACTTCCATTTCACCTTGGGCGGTGCTCTGCATGTTGTGTTGACAATTTACAATGGCTCCAATCCATCCAGGCCCAAAACTGCTCATTGCCTCAAGAAAGGCAACCAAAAGAGAGTTTTGACCAGACCCCCTATTTTGCACCCAAATATATAATGAAGTTCAATGAGAGAGTTTCATAGATTTCACAACCATCCGAGGCTTTAGCATGCTCCACTGGGCCGCCTCCAAAGGAGAGGCAATCCGGCCTTATGCAGCATGTACACCCAAGGAGCTTGCCTGACAGTACGGTTGGGTGAAAGTCGATGGCACAATTCCTGCATTTGGAGTCATCCCTTTTTACTTGCAAGGTCCCCTTGCCGGGAATTGTGCCCTCTACTGTCACTCAAGTGTACTTCAAATGGGGGGATGTTGCGATGTTTGCGCAAAATGTGAAGCTCCTCCCCTTTGGGGTACTCCTCATTTCCAGTTTGATGCTGACGGGGGACCTGGTTGCAGAAGCCGGTCCCCTGAACATGTCCTTCCCTGTAGGGGTGCTGAGTAGCCACGAATGCGTTGATCCCAAAGGGAAATCAAAGTAAATGGGTATTGTTTGGCTTTTTCCAGAGCCGCCCTTATCTAGCACCAAGTAGCAAGCCCTGTCGTCACCTTTGCCAATATGGCGAATCAGCTTTACCAATGGAAAGCGGCTCAAAACGTGGTGTGCAACAACCTGTGGCTCTTTGCTTTGGATGAAGCAAACCCTTGTACCAGGTTGATCATATCAGTTTCGGCTTGAATGTCATCGAAAGGCTCAAACTTCAGTTAAGCCAAGGGATGCCAATGTCCTCGGGCACAAGAAACGCCGCATGAGACTGGCTGGTTGTTTCACACGCAGACAACGATCACCGCAACATTGTCTCATCTTATTTATTTTGGACAAATCGTAAAAAGCTTAGCTGAGGGGGTAAATGAGCTTACCCACAACGAAGGCTGCTTGGATGCCTTGTTCCGGGTGTGTGAGTTACGGACATTTCTCAGATTTCTACATGGGTTGCATGGCTCGCTTCGTTAGCCACATCCACGTGGATGCCTTGACTTGACTGTTTCAGAAGTCGTGGGAGACAAAGTACCTGTCAGTTTGTGCTGAATTGCTACTGAGCTGTTGTGTTCTGTGTTATCTCTTGTGACGATTCAATGAAAGTCCAGATGGGACAATGATTTGCTACTGTCCTGTTGTTGTTTTCTGTGTTGTCTCTTGTGACGATTCAATGAAAGTCCAGATGGGACAATGATTCGCCTGAAACAGCCAACATACGCGCAATGTGTTGGGAGCAGAACCAGACATATGCATCAAAGGTCCAATCCTTCGTTCTGAGCACGCTTGCGAAGGGGTCCACTGGGGCAAGCCATCAGATGTGCACGCAACTCAGGTGGATCCTTGTGGATTGCTTTGCATGGCCGTGGAAGATGGGTGGTTTGGTCCACATGCTGTGATAGGGGATTTTCTCCAACGTGATAAAGCAGTCATGAAAATAAACCCATATGGGTGTGTCTTTTTGGGGAGGTGGTTTCCCTTTGGTGTCCCTTTAAACCAACTCCAAAACGGTACCACAAAGAAAGAACACACCCATATTGATCTCGGTCGTTTAGTCCATGAGGTTTCCTGTGAGAAAGCCGCCGCGAAGGTGGACTTGGCTCGCTACCTCCTGCAGCTGCGGGCAGATCCTGACGCGCGCGACGACACGGCCGGCAATGGGTTGGCTGTAGATCGCGGGCCGTGTGGACGTGTGTGTTGAGGGTGCCTTTTCTTAGCTGGCTTTGAAGGGAAACCCAAAGGACGAACCACGCATTTGTTTGGGCCCCCCTATTTTGGCAGATACCGAGGACGTTGGGGGGAGGGCAACCTTGGTGCCAACATAGGTTTGAGACCTTCTAGGAAGACACTGGTAGTTGCTTGTGGGCAAGGCTCATTTCCTTGGTGCAAATTGTTCTTTGAGATGCACCCTCCGGGCAACCAACATGGAAACAGAGGGTTCCTTTGAGAGGAACATTGTCTTTCCAGAACCCAAGTCTATGTCTTTCTGGGTGTGTGATGCTTAAAGGGGACGTACGAAGAACTCTGCATTTTTTCGGAATGCAACCCCGGAGCACATGGGAACTCTTTTGCACGCAGTTTTCGGAATGTCATTCTATTCCAAGGAATGCAGCAAGGCACACCCTGGCTTTCTCTTCCCAAATCTTGAAGGATATGGCCGGACTTGCCCGACCATTCAGCTCCTTCTTTTCTCTTGATACCGTCCATCAGCGCCAACGTTCAATCAACGACATGATAGGACAAAGGCACGACAAGGCCTAGCACAAGCGCCGGCCACCACAAAACACCACAAACCAGACCAAAATGACGCAGCACAATGCAACACAGCACAATGCAACCACGGCCCATCCATCCCCACCCAATCTGAGACACACACAGACACAGACACGGACAAAGACAAAGAAACACACACCACATGCACAAACGAACGCCGCACACACACACAAAGACAAACACAAACAAAAGCGCGTGCACAAACACACGCGCAAGACACACACACACACACGCACGCACGCACGCACACACGCACGCACGCACGCACGCACGCACGCACGCACGCACGCACGCACGCACGCACGCACCCACACACACACACACACGCACACGCACTCGCAACACGAACACGAACACGCACACCCACACACACACACACACACACACCACCCACCCACCCACCCACCCACCCACACCCACCCACCCACCCACCCACCCACCCACCCACCCACCCACCCACCCACCCACCCACCCACCCACCCACCCACCCACCCACCCACGCACGCACGCACGCACGCACGCACGCACGCACGCACGCACGCACGCACGCACGCACGCACGCACGCACGCACCTACACACACACACGCGCGCGCACGCACGCACCCGCACACGCACACACGCACACACGCACACACGCACACACGCACACACGCACACACGCGAACACACACACACACACACACACAGAGCCCGCGCAGCCGGGCGCACACACACACACACACACACATCGTGGATATGGTTGGATACTGGTTTGTCAGGGTTGGGAGCCACTTCTAGAGAACCACGGATCCAGGGAGTGCTAGGAAGCAGGAATCTGTAATGACCACCATTGGCAAGCTTGAAGTAATGTTCAGCAACTGTTTGACTGCGTCGTGGCGTTGAGCGAATGACGCGTGTGTTTCAAAAACTGGCCTCCTCATCACCATCTCTTCAACATGGAATTTGGGGGCACTGATATGTCCAATCGTTTCATGTTCCTTGTTGTGAGGCTCAACGAATGGAATGCGGGACCCCCCAACTCCCCCCCCCCTCAAGGGGGATGCCTGCTTCCGGGTCCCATGTGCCAGCACCAGCGGACACCTCTGGATTGGGCAGAACATGAAGGACACGTGGAGGCGCATTCCGGAAACAATTGGATGGCTAATTGCCAATTGGGTGTGTCTCTTTTGAGGGTACCTCTTTTTTGTGGTTTGAAAAACACACCCAATTACTGGTGCAAAATACCAAACTGCAGGATTTGCCTGAGCCCCATATGGGACCAACAATGGATTGGTTCTTCCTCAAAGAGTCCGAAAACGAGTTAACACTTCTTCGTTGAGCATTTTTCTCGGCTGGACCATATGAGCGTTGTTCCCGACAAATCCGACAGGGATGGGTCGGTAAAACTGTGCAGCTTCGAACTTTCAAGGCTTCCCCCCCTTGTTCAGCATCCAGGACGTGTCCTTTTGGAACTTGTGCAGTGGAGTGGTGGCTGAGGTTTGAGTAGAGAGAGCAAGGCGGGGGACCTTCCCGCCCACATGTGGTTTGTGTGCGTTTTTTGTTCGATGACCCGCATGCTTGGGGCGCTTTGGTCCTGAGGGATGCCACCATTGGTCCATGCATAGAATGTATTTGCCAATGTGTTCATGGGATGTAATGGCAAGCAATTCAATCACCAGAGGTTCAAGCACTCATGGAATGGCATTTGCCAGACAGGGACCCTTGAAGCGTACCCTTTTGTTGGCTGGTTCTAAGGGGAAACCAAAAAGAAACGACCTCTTTTGGGGGGGAGGGGCCCTAAAAAGAGACGCCTAGAAGGAAGCCGCGTGAAAATCATCAACAGATCAGGCCCTATCACCCGCTCCAGGCGGCCTCTGGAATAAATCAGAACCGGAGGGTGCCAAATATTCAGTGTGGCTTAAAGGGAAATCACAAGTTGAAAGCCGCAACACAAAATTTTAGGGTCCCCCCCTTTTTGACACGTTCCGCCGTTGCGCCATGCGTTTCTTGGCTTGTTCCGATGAATGTGCGTCTTTGATTTGTTTAGCGATTCACTATAGGTGGAGCTTCTAGGAACTTCATGGAGATCCCTCGGAACTCAGAAAAGACAAAGCGCGCTAAGCTACTTCTTGCAGCTTTGTGTTTTGATCCTCAGATGCAACCAGCAATGGCTTCAACAGAAATGGAGAGAGAGATGTAGAGGCAGCTTTTGCGCCCAGATTCTCGTCTAAAATTGGTGAAGAATCAATTATGCTTTGGTGGGCAGCATTTTGCAGGTACTGGTAGATTGTCTCTCTGCCTCTCTTTGTCTGTGCAGATGAGCATATGGGAGTGTGTCCAGTGTGGGGCTGAGTTTTGCAGATCTTCCGGGCTCCAGTCACTGAGCTGTGCGGGCGTGAGCTGAACCTGCCCATTGGGTTGCCACTTGTGATACTTTAGGATGGTTCCCGGCCATCCGGCTCCTTAGGCTGCAGGTGTTCAGTTGGTTTAGCGGCAGTTTCCACTACACCGCCAAAAGCTGAACAATAAATAGCAGGGGATCGGGGGGACAGCCCAGATAAGAATTGTCCACTGTGGTACCCCACCACTTGTTTTTTTGTTTTTTCCCCGAAACCATGGCATGCCATGCTGCCTCTGTTTGTCAACATTGGATTCAAGAGCGGCTGGCAGGGGGCACATATTGGATCTATGGGTGCATTTGCATTGCTTACGAGAGGCCTGATTCGTTGGGATTGGATATATCCTGTGGTAAAAATTCGGGTTTCTCAAGATTGCTGGAATATACTTCCGCCAATTGACATGGAATCCAGCAACCCTTCCCCTTGGGTTCCATGTGTGAAGCAGGGGGTGATTTGCAACCATGTCACAGTAAAGCGCGGAATGTCAGAACAGAGTTTTTGGCCCCGCGTCCTGAGCGGTCCCTCGAAAGGTCAGGACCCTGAAGTCCAATTCCAGAGATTCCTACTTGTAGCCGCAGTTGCTCAAAGGCAACCTTTTGAACTTTTGGTTTTCGTGATTTGGTCCATGTCTAGTCATGCCCCCCAAAGATCAACTTTTTAGTTTCTGGGTGGCTAAGGGGCAAGTGAGAAAGTAGCCTCTTGAGCATGGAGGCTGCGGAAATGCTGCGGCGGCAAACCAGGACTGCTGTTTGGGTGGATCCTGTGAGCCCCTTAGTTTGATCTTTTGGAGAGACGGTCTCACGATACAGAGGTACTTCAACTCCTTTTATCCCAAAAACCGCCCTAACTCGCTCGGACTCTTTGGGTAGTTTGTTTTTTCCCCTGACCTCCAAAAGGCGAGGGATGTTTTTGCTCGTTTGGGGGCACATGGGGTTTGAATTCAATGGCTTCGGGGTCCGGGTTTTCCATGAAGGCACGAGCTTCTGCCCTGTGAAGGTGGGCAGGGTGATGCAACCAAGAAGTTGCTGCTCACCCTCCTGGTGGTACGGGAAACCAACCCCAAAGTCGATGTGGGCGTTGTTTTTGGAGTTGATACATGGTACGTACCGTGTTTGGGAAACTACAGAGAAATCACAATTTTAGTCGTTCGTTCCCCCATTGTGAGACAAACCCATTTTGGCAACACATTGATGCTGTTCACTTCAAGGCGCGCAGTCTTTCCTTGCAGGGCAATCCTGACTTTAATTCGCCAGCGTTGACACCTTCGCCAACGACAAGCCATGCATAGACCACTCGAACTCTCAATCGTATACGTTTTTGGGATCCATGATGGACCTGTGTTTGAGGTTCGTCTCAGTCCAATGATTCAATAGGAGGGCTTATAGCAATTCGCCTATGACTTGGTTATGATCATGGCCTCTCTTGCTCAGGTTTTTGCGTTGGGAAGTACCCTGATTAATAAGTCCTGGTTGACAAGTACAGGGGATGCCTCCTCAGGGCTCCTCAACAGATACCATCTGAAACATGGCTTTTTCCAGCCAAATAAAGGGAAACCACCATTTACAAGGCAATGTTCAGGTGTATAATGTAAGGATCCCTGCTCCTGTTTGGGGATTCCTCACTTTGGTGGCTGACACAGCCCCATCATTGGTAGGATGGGCTCAGGAGCCGGCTCCTGGGGCGACTGTCTACGCGCCGGAAGACTTTCCAGCAGGACGGGTGGGTCTTGTTCATAGTTTTTTTTGTTGGGTCAGTTTGGTTGGTTAGACATAGATGGCACTGGTCTAGATTTGTTTGCCAGGGCCATCTATTTTGCCAAAAGGACAGCTATGGTCTTGTTTGGTCTTCTCCTTTTTGCAGTATTGCAGGGAAACCAACAGCTTCCTCGCCGCCCCAAAAAGGGGGGTCCATGTGCGATCTTCCGAGACGTAATTGCCGGCATTTAGCTGAGCTTCTGCAAAGTTGTGCGTTTCTGCATGTGTAGTGTCGCCGCTGCACTGTCGGGGTCTTTGAAGTGCCTCAACATCTAGTTTCTGAATAGAACATAACCGTGCTTTTGGCTGGCTTTGAGGATATAACAGTGTTTTAGTTTGCCTTGAAGTGTTGTGTTTGTTAGTGAGTCGGCGCCGAAATGCGTGAGCTGTTTGCCAAGGTCGAGGGTGGGCGCATGTCCGTTCGCCATTTCTAGTTAATTTGACTGGTTTCTAGGGGGAATTTTGTTTCTAAGCGGATTTGACCGGAGTTGGACCGGTTTTCAAAGGGGTTTTGACAAATGTCTAGAGGGGAGTTTAACCGGTTTCTGCGGTTTTTAGTGGGGGATCAATTGGTTTCTGCGGGGGTTTGAGGGGAATTTGACAAGTTTCTCGGGACCGTTTTTAGAGGGGATTTGATTGGTTTCTAGATGGGAAGTTGACCGGTGGCCGAATTCGTTGGACCGGTTTTGGTTTCTGAGGGGGGAAATTGACCGGTTTCTAGATGATTTGGACGGTTGTAGAGAAGACCGCTTCCCGGTCCTGCAAATCAGCGAGAAAAGAAGGCTCGGCAACTACAACTTCCAAAAGTCAAGAGAAATGGCTCACCCGTCTCCAGAATCTCCGCGTTCGCAGGAGCGCTCCTCACTGCCTGTGCAGCAGGGGCAGGCAGTTCCAGCGCCCAGGCGCCAGTTCCTTGAGTTCATTTAGGGTATACGCCCTGGTGGGCTTGGAATCCACCAAATGATGACAACAGCTTTCATTATTCCGCCTGGTCGTTTTACCGCGAGTCTAAGGGAGCCTATCACTAGTGGAGATATGATTTAATTTGTCCAGGGAATTTAAGCTCAAACAATGACAACAACCCATGGTGGGAGGCTAACTGTTTGTGTCATGGTTTCCATGAACCCCGATTTTGACATGGTTTGAGGCGGCTTGTCCACATACTTGGGAAGCAAGCTCGAGACTGGCACAGAACTTGGGTCAAACAGTCCCAAGCAAGTGGAAGTGACCACAAGCAGTAGGCCCCAGGATTTCAGACAGCCTAGCGTTTGCCAAAGGGAAACCATCCATTTAGGGGTCCCCCCCATCAAGAGACATTCACACGGCTTGCCTCGGCCCACGGCACTTTATCAGAGGCGGAAAAGTGAGGCGGCGCCGCGCCGGCGCGGGGGGGCCCAACAAAATGGACTTGGAAGGGGTGATGGATAGTTATTCTCGCTGAAGTCAAAGCAACGACCCGTGCACACAGACGTGGAACCCTCAAAAGTGGATTCAGTGCAAAGGATGGCTTTCTTAATTCCATGGAGTAAACCAGCCAGAGAACGTGTCCGACTTCAAAATCGACCGTAGTGGTGCCTCCAAGCGAGAGGATCCATGGACGGGTTTGCGTGCTCTTCCTTGGCACTGTTTGGGTCCGACGCTTTCAAGTTCTGAGAAGTTTGGCTTGTTTTGGATCCCCCGGATCCTTGCACCCACTACGCACTGACATGGATTATGATAAAGTTCTCCTTCAATGAAATAGGAAACAGGCCGAAAGAGCCATGGCCGTGGGTCAGAATGTTGTTTTAAGCGCTCAGAGGCCAAGCCAGCCATCATTTTGGGTGCGTCTTTTTTGGAGGGGCTCCTCCAAAATGCTGGTTTTCCTTCCGGTATCCCATCAAAACCTGCAAAACAAAAAACGGGTACTCTCCAGGAAAGACACACCCATTTGTCATCATGGTGGCAGCGCAATGTTGTCTTGTTATTGTTTGAGGATTCCGAAGGCTTTCCCCGAATTGGAGCCTTGGCGCAAATGTTATTTGCTGTACTCCCTATGTATGAAGATGTTCCCGCTGGAAATGAACTGGCGGGTTGGGCCTGTTGGTTCAGCCTTGCCACTCAGCCTGGGGAAACACCGATCCATGCGAACATGTCAGTCAAGAAAATATGACATTTGATTGAGCAATGATATATTTTGTAGCACATCCGCGGTTTGGGCGTCGGTGATCAGGACTCACTGCTGCTGGATCTGCAGAGAATCGAAATGAGAAGCTGGTAAAATGTGTCTATGGGGAGAGTGGTGGAAGCAGCAGTCGGTTCAGACCACAATGTTCAGATGAGCAGGCACTGGTGTAGATAGCTGTCCTTGTTTGCTGGTCCGGCGCCAGCTCTTTCTCCAAGTCAGCTAAATTCGATTTAGCTGGTTGTTGAAATCAAGCAGTTTCGAATTGGTTCTTAGTGCGACAAGCGTTGACTGGCGCTCGCAAATATGTGGCCTGTCGATGGGTGACACAGCTTGCCCTCAAGCGTCAAATGTCTGAGTGATTCCACTGGAAACCGCGCTGAGGCAGCAGGCGCAAATCCGTCATGCCGGAGAGCTACATCCCTGCAAAGCTCCCAGACCCCCTTGTCGGCGTTGCTCTGTTGATACGACTTCTGGGATGCAGTTGACTCCCAATGTTCCCATGAGGGTTTGTCTCCACAGTGTCCATTACTGTGGAGTTCCCCTCCAGCGTCGCCCAACAAGGATACGCTCAAGACAGCGCCCGTGCAGTAGTGAGGTGCAGCATGTTGGAAATTGACACAGAATCAATCAAGTGAGAAAGAGGCCAAACTCTTTGATACAGAGATATGTCTTCGGTGATTTAGTGAAATCGCGAAGGACAAGTGTCAGAAACCTTCAAGAATGATAACATGAGACCCCAAAAGCGATAGCTTCCCATTCGCAATCGCCCGAAGTAGTCTTAGGTTTTGCCCCTCGCTCAAGTGTTTGTCACCCTCACCCCCTGCAAAAAGTTGGTGAAAGCGAAGCGGCCGTGAGACAGAGAACGCAGGGCCGAAAAGGTCAACTGAGCAGTTCAGTTTCAGCAGGTTCAGTTCAATATGGTGCTGTCTTGTTTTGATGGTACCATTTTTTTAGTTTTAGACACTGACTCACACGTATTTTGGCACATAATCAACATCTTAAGGTGTTGCATCGATATGCATTTGTTGTGAAATTTGCAGTGGAAGATACAAGGCAAAGAAAACCAGTTCTTTTGCCACGGGAAGCCAGTTTTGGGAAGCAAGTTGAAGCAAGTCAATCACAAGGGCAAAGTCAATTTCACCTGATTTTCTTGTGGTACTGACTGATCGTGTCTCTAAAGTATCTCACAACCCCGTTATTATTTCAACACATCGTGTTTTTGAGATCTCCTTGAAGCCTTTCTTGCTTGTGTCATAAGAGGGTTTTGTTTGCAACTCTTTGGGAATAGGCTCATCGGTACACCAGACTGTCGGCCATATTCGGATCAACACCGGTGTGGTTGCTGCGGATTGGCAGAGTCCTGCACTAGTTGGGATAGATGAAGCCCAATGAACACTGGTTGCTCAACCAGCTACCAGCTGGTGCGGGTTTTGGTCCGCAGTATGGTTGGATTGCTGTGGCGCGGTTGCGCCACGAAAGGTCCTGGAAGAGATCGACCGGCGGGGCTGGAACAACATGCTCTCGCCTCAGACTGAACTGCTCAACATGGCTAGCTTGTGCTAACTCACAACTCCCTCCAATCTTGTAGATTATAGACCATGTGTTTTTTTCCCCCGAAGACTGCCTTGGTGGTGAGCAAGCGTTTAGACTCTGTTCGGCCGTTCGATCCGCGGAAGTGAGAAAGCTGCAGATCCTGGGTAAGGTGTCCACGTGCCACATCCTTTTCAATTAGCTCTGGCAAGGTGCCGTTGTTCAATGCCACTGAGACCTTCTCGTTTGTGTGAGGGACGTTGTGTATACTTTAAGTATACATAGACAAATGCTTCATGCATGCATACATGCATACATGCATACATGCATACATGCATACATGCATACATGCATACATGCATACATGCATACATGCATACATGCATAACATATTACGTGCATAACATGCATACATGCCTAAAACATTACATGCATACATGCATACATACATCCATACAATACATACACTACAGACACTACATACACTACATACAGTACAGACACTACATACAGTACAGACACTACATACACTACATACACTACATACAGTACATACATGCATGCATGCATACATACATACATACATACATACATACCTACATACCTACATACCTACATACCTACATACCAACATACCTACATACCTACATCCATACATGCATACATGCACACATGCACACATGCACACATGCATGCATGCATGCACACATGCATACATGAATACATCCATTCATGCATACATGCCTACATGCATACATGCATACATGCATACATGCATACATGCATACATGCACACATGCACACATGCACACATGCACACATGCATGCATACATGCATACATGAATACATCCATTTATGCATACATGCATACATGCATACATGCATGCATACATACATAAAGACATACATGCGGACGTGCATACATGCACACATGCATACATGCATACATGCACACATGCACACATGCACACATGCACACATGCATACATGCATGCATACATGCATACATGAATACATCCATTCATGCATACATGCATACATGCATACATGCATGCATACATACATAAAGACATACATGCGGACGTGCATACATGCACACATGCATACATGCACACATGCACACATGCACACATGCATACATGCATGCATACATGCATACATGAATACATCCATTCATGCATACATGCATACATGCATACATGCATGCATACATACATAAAGACATACATGCGGACGTGCATACATGCACACATGCATACATGCACACATGCACACATGCACACATGCATACATGCATGCATACATGCATACATGAATACATCCATTCATGCATACATGCATACATGCATACATGCATGCATACATACATAAAGACATACATGCGGACGTGCATACATGCATGCATGTGTACGGTCATTGCACATGTTTGCTTGGGATGCAGCGTGGCTATTTGTTGCCAAGCCAGGGTGGCTCCCCGGGGGAAATCTTTCCTGTTGCACATCATTTGGAGGAGCCGCCCTGAAGGGCCGCAAACCGATCATAGGGAACCAGCGCCTTCGGCATGTGCCAAAGTTTAGCGGAACATGCCAAGTGACCCCTCGCAAGCTCTGACACCACCTTCCATTTTGCTTCAGAATTTTGAAGCATCTTCCCAAGTCGTACCAAAGTCCGGATTTGGGGTCTCCAATGCTAGGCACTGAGGGCTATCTCCCTGCAACTCGCCCTGAGGCAATGGACCAACGGCTTTACTTTGCTCCACTGGGCGCGGCTTCGCCGAGCCGAGGGTGGAACCCTCTTGACTTGCCCAGTGGATTCCACCCCCCTTTTAAGCCCTTGGTCTGGGATTCCTTTTACAAACCGAGAAACAGCAGGAATTGTGTGTATGTGTTGTTCCCATGGCCACTGGGCAGCTTAGGTTCGGCCGTAGATTCAACCTGCTTGCATGACAGCCTTGCTGCATTGATGGGCCCAGCGATTGCGATGCCGGGAGGTTCCGTGCTGCTTGAGCTCTTTACCCAAGGGCACAAGCGGCGTTTCGACTGATCGGCATTTGGCCCACTAGAATAGCGCTCGCAATTCTGTTTGAGTCCAAGTGTGTGAAGCAAAAGGCATCAAGCCCTATCAAGCCCGTTCAAGCGTAGTGATGCTCAATAAAGAACTTGTCGTGTTTGTTGTCACTTCTGCCAGCGAACATGTCTGGTAGCTACGCCAAGTCCAGATGCACTGACAATTAAGCACAAGCTGAGCTTGCCAAATCATCCAAAGAAGATGTTAACATTCATGAATGATGGACATCCGCGTACACTCAAACTTCATGACTTGCTCCAGTGAGCTGCCATAAAATTCCAATGGCTCCAGATGTGCCTTTTGGCGAGTCAAGGGTCGTGGAAGAGCTGCTGAGCATCGTTTTGGTTACCTCGCCTGTGCCTTCAAATCCATCTACCCAGATGCTGGAGCATGTGCTCAGCTCCTGCACTGAAGGCGGAGGACTTGAAGCATGCCAGAAGATCATTGTCTCCGATGCTTGGCACAAATCGACCGGATGTAACGTTTTGGTTTTCGTTTGTTTGGTCCATATGGGGGGGGTGTCCTTTCTTTAGGGGTGCCCCCAACAAATGGTTGAATTATCTTGGTTTCCCTTGAACAAAAACCCAAAAAACAGGGGCACCATCTACAAAAAGAAAGGCACAATAATAAAGTAGTCCAGGTTCTAACCTGTGGTTTCAGGTTTCTAGAAAACGGATTGGATTTGCGCCTTTTGTGGATCCACCCAGAAAAAATAGATTCAAAGACTAACATATTTTCCTACAAAAGATGACCCACAGGAGAAGAACTTTGGGGAAATCCCACAAAAAGTCGCAACATCCTAAACCGTTTTCTTAGGATCGTTGGCTTCAGCGTTAGGACGGCTTCCGCATCTGCGAGACGTCGCAGCGGCCGAAGCCAAAGGCGGGCCGGGTGGCTGAGGAGTGGGCAGCGCCCTACGAGGAGTTCAGGTCACGTTGCTCAGCTGAAACGTTCAGCGAGTCGTTCGAGTCGACCGGATCTCAGCTTGGGGTTGTTCTGATTAGATCTTATTATTTTAGAGCAACCCCAAAGGTGATCACCTTTTAAAGTTGTATATGGCCCATGTTTCGTGGCCCCTAAGAGGTGATCACCTTTCACAAGGTCCCTAAGGAGCCTTTCACTCAGGCGTGGATGGTCTCCAGGTGAAGCACCTCCGCTGCGCGGAGCACAAGGGCTTCGCCGGGTGCTTGCACATCGCGCTGCGCCAGGTGCGGACCAAAAGCTCCGATAAGCATTGGAGAAGGGAAAACCACCAAAGATGACGTGACTAGAAGGGAAGACCAGAAGGGAAATTCGGCCTTTTCGTGGCCACCAAAGACCAGCAGAAACAACAAAAACACCATAGCTACCTGGTTGCCATTTGGTTGTGTTATTTGGGTGCCGGGAAGATGGAAATCTCAGGTGGCCACAGCCTTTGTGCTGGTGCTGCAGCACGACCGGCCCTGTCTGCGGCCCTTCGATGCCAGTGGCATCCTGGAGGTGCTCGCGAAGGGCCGGGCCAAGTACGTGGGCCTCCCCAGCAAGGCGAGCCTGGCGCGCACGGAAGCGAGCCACCTAGCCAGCAACTGGCACGTGCGCTCGTGTGAGGCAGTGATCGGTAGTGACAAGGAATGGGTTCTGCGGCCGCTGTTTATGTGGTATGACTCTGCACATATTTGCAGGGTGGACCATTACAAAGACCTGGTTTTCCGAAAAGGCCGAGACTGGAGTGGAGGATTCATCGAGGATTCCTTCGGACAGGAGATGCAAACAGCTTTGCGTGCTGCAGTGGCAACCGGCTCCTGGAGAGAGGTTCATGAAGCTTATGGGACCTATTTGTATGATGATGGTGCTGGGCCTGTGATTGGTCATCTCAACGGCCGCAGGTACTCTTTGGACAGCAGCAGGAAACTTATCCCAGTGAAGGCCCAAGAAGAAGAAGAAGTCCCCGTCACTGTCACATGAGCTTGTCCAAGGCGGAAGGACGGAGCAGATGCGTGAATGGGGGGTGGAGCTCCACGGTGACGCGTCAAGGTCTGCAATGAAGCCTGGAGCACATAACACTTGCTGGAAGGGCAGCCGAACCGACGTGGAAGATGGATTAGGGCATCAAACTGCACAGAGAATATCCACTGCCATTGCGATAGTAGTGTGAGTATTGTTTAGAACAAGAAGAACAAGATCAAAGCATTGACCGGAAAGTTGAGTGTAGGATTTAGAATGTAGGCAGTTTCTGCACATAGGCACTTTCGCATGTGCCGCCAGCTGTCCAACCGCTTTTCAAGTTGTCTGGTTGTGATTGTGCTGCCTGCGCCTTGTATATTGGGATCCGCTCCCTGCTTGGCAATCCAGCCGGGCGAACTTGTTTTGCTCCACTGTACATTTGGTTTAACGCATCGCTGTGGTTTTACCATGGAATACGTGTTTTGCGCACTCTTCGCAAAAGCTGTTGACTGGCAATGAAGTGCTGTGAAAGACAGAGCAGGCAGCCACCAATGTCAAGATCTCCGCAAAGCTGGGGCTGGAATTGCCGGGACATGAGACATGCCCCCGTTGCAATCCCAGCTGTTTTGGCGGATGCCCAAAACATTGCAAGTACACCAATCATTTTAGCCGGCAAATCACGGCAAAGCAGAGCGTGTCCTTGTTCCCTTACTTGCTGTTGTCAGAGCATGCACTGTACATCTTGTTGCATGGGAGGTGCATGGGCTTGATTCAGTCCATCCCTTTTGCAAAGCACCTGCGAAAGTTAAAGATGTCCATGGGGCACGTCTGCAGGGGCCCCCACTTCAAAAACTAGACTCGCATGCGGGACCATGATAACACCGGATATGGCCCGAACAGTTGATTCCAGGTCGACCAAACAGAAAACAAGGTACATTGCAGTGTGTCCTCTATTCCCCAACTGTAGTACGTGAATCAACCATACAGTTCCTTGACTTTATACTTCTTGGGAAGACAGTTTTAGTTGTAAATCAAAAGTTCAGACTTTGTTTTGCCCATCTCAGGAAGTGAAACCACCATGTTCAGAGGAATCGACCCCCTTTTTAGGCTCCATGTAAATTTGGGAAGTACTTGTAAGGTTTGGCATGTAGCCTTCCGGGAAGGCCTGAGAAGCGCATACCCCGTGAGGCTGCTCAGAATGACCAGCCCGATTTGGTGGAGCAGCTTTTTACCAAGGCTCGGAGCGCTCAAAACTGATTCCTTTTTGGCGGTGACTTGACTTTTGCGAACCCCGGGCTTTGTTCGCCTCCACCTACCTCCTGGGTGTGTTTGGTCCATAAAAGAGGGGGGGGTCGAAAGACAGAGTCCTGGCTTCTGCAAGACATTTCGTGCCTATGTCCCGCCCAAATGGACCGTAGACTGGAAATTCAGACCGAGCTTCGTTTCAGGTGGCTCGATTCTTAGCTGGTTTCTTGGGGGTTCTACTACGGCCTCCCAAAAATCCTGGAAAAGCCTATATTGGAGAGGGGGCTCCGTGGCAACTGAAGGGCTGTCGTGCAGTTTCCCTTTTTGTGTGCCGGAATCCGCACTAAAATGGTCAACCCCCAAAAGGGTTTTGTTGTTTTTCTGCCTGTGTTGAAAGCAATCACACCTATGTTACCATTTCAACGATCTCAAATTGTAACGACCTCAGTGACCAGGTATGAAGGTGATTTGTCCCCACAGCAACAGGCATGGGGGCTTGGCCAGTGGCTATACAGGGAGAGCTGGCGAATGGCGGGGCTGAGGATGCTCCAGCAGCTAGCAAGCCAAACCCAAAATCGATGGGCTCAGGCTGCGGACCCCTTGCAGAAGGATGATGCCGGCAGGAGGGGGCGTTTTTTCGGCTTTCGACGCTCGCTGGAACCAGTGAAACAAAGAGTTTGAATGGTAGCACCCTCAAGTGGAAAGGCGCCCTTTGAAGGACCCTCCAACAGGCAGCAATCAGCATGCCAAAGCTCATTGCCATGAATCCACATCGAAAACGCCTGAGAATCCCAATGTCACCACGGGTCCCCCATCCAATTTCATTTGCGGTGCGCAAAAGGTAATTATGTTTGTCAGGGGCTGGCCCGCAAAGGTCCTGACAGTCAGTATCCAAGAAGATGTTTGCATTCTGTTGTTATTGGTCGCCGAACATTTGCTGAGCTCGGATGGCCAAAGCACCAACCTCGACGTTTCCTTTGGTTTCCCTTTGCCAGCGCCAAACTTGCTGCCGGGTCAGAGCAAGCCTCAGCTTCGTAGGGTCGCCAATCAACGGCATTGCGAATTGGGCGAATCAAGAGCCTTTGGGGTAGGATACTTGTCGAACCCAGTGGATCGCAGATACTTCCATAGGTAACCAGCCATTGTCCGTTTAAGCTGCTTAAAGGCGGCTCTCTTCCTACTATGCAGGGAAATGGAATCACTGGAGAAAATGAGGGTTTATGGCCCTTTCTGCAGAGGGATCTCCGAAGTGAAGTAGTCATGGGAACAGCCCATGTATTTGTTTGAGGGCACTTTCTATCTTTGATCAAAAGGAACCAAGAGGCAAGCCAACTTTTGCTTTTTGTTGCGTCTTCTTTTTTGTTTTGTGGCGTTTTTTTTGGGGGTGCGGGGGGGGGGGCCGGGGGCGTCCCTATGCTGACAGATTGGTACCGGATTGGGTCCGGATTTTTCACAGGACCGCCTTGGACTTTGCGCGTGAGAGTGGGAGCCTGGCGGCCAGGGCCTCAAGAGGCCCCTTGCTCGCTCAAGAGGCTTTTGCTTTGGGCATAAGTGCTTTTGTTTTGGACTGCCCGTTACCCTCCCCACACTTCGTCACTTCGCACTGGAGGGTAGCTGGATGGTGTTCCTCTTGGAACCGGTCAGACGGCAACGTGGGAGTGAGGGAAATACATTTGTGTACTTCCCCGAGTAAAGAAGATTCGCCTGGCGGAGCAATATGAGGGTGCATTAGAATGCGAGCGATTGCCACAGCCCTCGTTCGGGATCCCGCCTTTCCGGGCCCGGCAATCGTTCCAAATCGCAGTGAGCAATGATTTCAAGCTGAGAACTGAGTCATTTTGGGATGTGTGCCAGGTTCGAATCTGTTTAAGCTTTGTTTAGCATTGGCAAAGCATTGGCTGTGTATTGGCTTTCGTATTTCTAAAGTGTCAATAATAAAGCGGAAGTTGGGGTCAGCGGGAAATTTGCTGGTTCTAAATTATGTGTTGGGAGCACGTATTGATAGGGAGAGTAACTATTGTAGAATTTGCAGAACCATGCAATGCCTTTGTGAACGCAGATGAACGGGATGATCATGGACTCAGAAAATACCGGCATGAATTGCAGAAATCGGGCTTGTGGAAATCGCGCCTATGACCCGTGCATGACCTGTGCACATGAAGCGAGTTGTGATCTCGCGATTTTTGGAAAGCCAAATGCCTTGAAGGCCAATGAGTCTGCTCATATGCCGAGCCCTTGGGATAAGCCGAACATGATTCAGGGCCTTTGCTTATACCAGATTTGTTCTGTCAGGTTTTGGAATTATATACATATATATATATATATATAGAATGGGCCGATGATTGGCTCCTCCATCCAGGATATGGCGACATGCGACGCAGCCACATATTCCGGGTATGAATGTTAATAAATATATATATATATATACATAAGGTTTGGTTTTCAGGCGCCTGCTACGTAGGCTTCGCTGAATTGAGGGGCAAAATTCAGGAAATCTTCGGAATGCAAGCTCAACAAATCCTTTGAGAAGACTGCTCGGGAACTCTCCCGAATGCTAAAGTCTCGAGCATTCGGCGACCACCTTGCAGACATCGTTTTCGAGAGTTGTTTGATCTTTGTTTCGCCTAAGCTACGCTTTGCTGGCCTTTGTTACACATCCCAAATTTTGAGACTTTCTGCGAGCGCTCTCCGACTCGTCACGAGGTGGTTGAAGCCTTGAAGCGCTACTCCCCCCCGGCCCCAGAGGCACGGGGCAAGATTCGATGGGTTCCCTGTACCCGATTACATTTTTAAGGGGTCAGTTCTCAAACCCAGTGATTCCGTTTCCATGTATACTAGGTAACCAAGAGAGCCACCCTTTGAGCAACTGCAAGGGACACTGGGTTACCTACCTTACCTCTTAAAAACACAACTTTTCATTTTTTGGGGTAACATGGGCTATATGTATGTAAAAGATTAACTTCCCCAGGGCTTGGAGTTTTAAGGGGTAAGCTACTATAGAGGTAACTGGGATGCATGGGGAAAACGACTTTTGGGTCATGATTTCCAGGGTTGGCACGAGGTTCATGCCCAAAGTTCCGAGGGCATTTCTCAGGGAGGATCGGAGCTTTTTGCAGGGATCACTTGCAAATGTTTAGTTTGGCCATATTTTGCCATGGCTTCTATCCACCTGTTCGATGGGTCTGTCTGAAAGATTGCCCTCGGGTGCAACCCCCATATAAGAATGGCAGGATCCTAAAGACGGGGAAGGTACAGCTCGAGTGGTCACCGAACCCCCGGGATTTTTACTTCAGACGGGAAAACGCGCGCCGGGGTGCCAGGTCATGGACCTCTCGGAGCACGGCGGAAAGGCCGGATGGCCACAAAGCTCGAGGTTTTGACCCATGGGTCGGTGGATCGAAAGGTCTTGACCCACTTTACATGGGATGACCAGGGAAACCACACAAAAATATTGGATATGTGCCACATGGGAAAAGTTATCTCATGGTCATTTGGGGGGCCAGGAATATTGATCACCTTCATGGTGTGCCGTTCTTTTTGGGGAAGGGAGCAACGGAACCCCCCAATGGTAAAGTCCTTTACTCTACAGTTTATCATGGACCCCAACAAAAACCCACGATTTCTACAAGAATATCCTTTGGGCGGACCCCCGACTTGGGTTCCTTCCGTTAATTTGTAGGGGAGTATTTGAAAACCAAAGGCAAACGGCCCATGTGGCTGGCTTGATTTTGAGAGCCCACATGTTTGAGATGTTTGAAAGGGTGCCTTTTTAAAAGTGTTTCTCTTTTGAGGGTCCGGTTTGGTCTTTCAGGATCCCCCAGATAGGTTCCATGTTAGTGGGCGGGAGGCTACCCTGTTTTTCTGAAGGAAAACCAAAGAGAAATCGTCCCATGTTCACAAACACATCTGCCCATGTTCATCATAAGGCATGTCATAAGATTCGCACGCAGAGTGAAAATCAGGTAGTCGGTCTGCCTAGAGACGAGTATTTGCTTATTCCATTTGTGGGGGGCGAGAAGGTGACGAGCTCTGAATTGCAACACCAACAAAACAGGGGAGAGACCAATTGAAGTCTGCCATGTCCAGGAAGCCGAGAAACCCACAGAAAGTTTCGATTCAGGTTGACAGCAAAGCCGTGGCCGTATTTTGAAGGCTCCCGGCCATTCGATTCGGTGAGACGTTTGGAGTTTTAGAGCTGAGTGAGTTATGATGAATCCCACTAAAAGTTTCACTTTGCGCAGCAAGGGATCAACAAACCGCAAAGGCAAGGGCCAGGTGGATCGCCTTGCACGTGTTTGCACGTCAGGACGCGCGCAGGAGAACTTACGGCTCCGTGTTGCGGGGGAACCCGAGCGGACTTAGCACGCATTGGTCAACTCATCGGCCGACCGACCGTCAAAAACCCTAAAGCTAGTACTGTAGATACCCTCCCTCCAATTATGGAAGCTGACAGGAGGGTTCGAAAGGCTGCTTTTGTTTTCAAGCTCCCTGCCCACTTCGTGATTTAGTTCAGCCTTTTCTCAACGGCCGTAGTTGTACTCCAAGTTCCCAGGTCAAATCATCAAGACCTCGTATTCAAGGGGTCAATCCAAAAACATAGAGTCACAGAAGGCGGCCATCTATTTGTGGCCGGGGTTTCACCTGCTTGAGCAGTTGAGTCAGAGATCGGCTGATATTCCACAGCTGGCTACTGAGTGCGAAAATGTCCCAAAAAGAAGCCAAAAGGGCACGGACGTTGTTTAATTCTCCGGACCCCCCACTTAGTACCCAGAAAAGAACGGTGATCTCATGGTCTTGCGGGACCTGCAAGCACTCTTCTTGAAGCTCAAACATTTTGTGCAAGTTGGCAGCTGCATGGCTTGCTCATTCTCGTCTCCCCTGCATTGCATTTCGGCGTGCAACAGTTTCAGTGTCAGGCGTTGCGAAAACATGGCTTGCTTGCCTCCTTGCTTGCCTGCTTGCGTGCGTGCTTGCTTGCTTGCTTATTTAATTTGCTTATTTGTGTATTTGCTTACTTCCTTCTTGTTTATATGTGTTTTTGTCTTGAGTTTCTGTTTTTCGAGGTCCTCCGCGGGAAATGAGGACTTCCTGGTGGAGAACCCGATCGAGGCGATCGATCAAAGCGCGCCGCGCAAGAGGTGAATCGGAACTCGGGATGAATAGCTCGCAACGTGGCAACAAACGGCGAGCTCACCTTCCATTTGCTTAATAATATGTGTTATTTTCCCTTGTTGGTTTTAAAAGGAATTTCTCACCACTGGATATATGATGTATATATACATATGTTTTTAGTTGTTCCGGGGGTCTTAACATAATGGAAGTCACCCATGAAGGAATGTCTTGATGCTTGATGAATTATTGCATTGGTAACCCAGGATAGATAAACCTCTGGTTAATTTTGATTGGTGGTTGTCTTTTTGGTCTTCCTTTTGTCCAGCTTGCAGATTGGGTACCACTTTCGGGGCCACGGTTGACATTGACCGAACCAAAGGGACGGGGGATAGGTCATTGAATGCAATTACATGAATCGTCTACCCTCAGATTTCATGTTAGTGCCCTGGGTGGGAGAGTGAGAGTAACTTGTTCAGAAACCTTGTTTAACATACGGATCTGATTTTGTAAAATTTGGCAGCTGAACGACTATCCTCGAAAAAGGACTCATGTCTATTTCCATGATTGTTGGACACAGGGTATGTTTGTGCTGCACCCGATCATGAAACCCTTTGACACCCGGTTACCTTTGTGCATGTTGGGGAACAGGAACCAATAGTCAGCAGACATTTTCCCGGAGGCCAAGCGCGCAAGTTGTTTGTAGAATTGTTCGGTTTGCTCATATGAGTTCTCAACTTGTAATTCTTGTAAAGGACGCAGTCAAGGAGGCATTCTAGGACTTGACCCAGCAATTGTCATGAGGTGATGGACGCAAGACGCAAATGGTCGCATTGTGCTCCGTTTTTTGGTGTCCTTGCAGTCCTCACACCACCCCAACCTTTTTCCTTGGTGTTGGCTGATGCAGGCTCGGAGACAGCGCGAGGCTGGGTTGGTTGACAGTGTGCAGCATCGTGCTTAGCCATTTGCGGATTTGCCTGTTCACCACGGTTCATAGGGCTTGTGAACAAAGGCCTCTGCGATGTAGAGCCCTAGGCTTTGTGTCTTTCCTGCGTGACTGGCATGTGCGCTGCAATGGAGCCAGAGAAGATCCTTTGCCTCTGGAGGATTGGTTCTGATGTGTCTTAAACAACATCGGATCGTGGTGGCATGTTCGGCGGCATTGTGACTCCTGTTTGCTGGTGAAGTGCTTCGGCTGAGTTGCTGTGGATCGCGGCTCTTTGTTCTGCACCGCGGGCTGGGGAGTTGTCTGGGGTGTTGGAGGCATTTCAGCGTCAGATGACCGACATGATGCTGCCTCTTGCCAGACGTGGGTGCTAGACAACCCAGAATTAATCAGTTTTCCCGAAAGGAAGCTAAAGAGGGTCGGTATGCTTCAATTTGTCCGGACCTATTTGGCGCCCAGTAGGATTCACAAAGCAAGGCTAGGCAAGACATGAGAATGACTGAAGAATTTGAAGCACCCTCCAAAAGTGGTTGTGGACGTGCATCCTGTCATAAATATGCGATCCAGGATGAGAGTTCAAGATAGTGTTGAATGACACGTCCCACTGCATAGTTGACTGCACGACTGGAAGGGTGGCAACATTGAAATACCTGAAATTGATTGGACAGCCATTCGAATTCATAGTCATTTGGCTGTGGAGCCATTTGCTCTAGCTTGGATCCATGTGTTCGATTCTATAGGCCCGCCACAGTCCCTGGGCTACGCACCCCCCGCCCCACAATGGTATGGTTCCCCCACTCCCCCGCATCATCTGCATCTTGGGGATGATGCTGGCAATGCTGGGGATGCTGTCCAGTACCGTGTGAGCCCTGCAGCTTCGGTCCCAGACTCCCCCTTTCACCCCCGTGAACCAACACCCCAGCACCTCTCGCAACATCCTACCCTAAACCAAACCTCCTAAATCAACCCAAACCCCAAACCCACCCGAAACCCACCGCAAACCAACCCTGAACCAACCCTAAACCACCCCCACCACCCCACCACCCCACCACCCCACCCCACCCCCACAGGGGGCGGGGGGGGGGGGTTGGGGGGGGAGGGGGGGGTGGCAGGGGGGGGGTTCACGGCCTGCAACGTCTATGCCAGTAGAGCCGGCCAAACCGGTCAGCGGAAGTCTCAAAAACACAAGCACTATAGTTTGGAGATTGATTTTGGATTCTTTCTCTTTTGCGTGTGCTTGTGTGTGTGTGTGTGTTGTTTGCGTTGCTTTGTCGTGTTGTGTTTGTTGTTTGTTTGCTTGCTTGCTTGCTTGCTTGCTTGCTTGCTTGCTTGCTTGCTTGCTTGCTTGCTTGCTTGCTTGCTTGATGGTTTGCGTGTTTGTTTGTCTGTTTGTCTGTCTGTCTGTCTGTCTGTCTGTCTGCGTGTCGGCCTGCCTGCCTGTCTGCCTGTCTGTTTGTCTGTTTGTTTGTCTCTTTTTCTGTTTGTCTCTTTTTCTGTTTGTCTGTTTGTCTGTTTGTCTCTTCGGTTGGTTGGTTGGTTGGTTGGTTGGTTGGTTGGTTGGTTGGTTGGTTAATTGGTTGGTTGGCTGGCTGGTTGGGTGGGTGGCTGGCTGGCTGGCTGGCTGGCTTGCTTGCTTGCTTGTTTGTTTGTTTGTTTGTTTGTTTGTTTGTGTGTCTGTTTGTTTGTTTGTTTGTTGGTTGGTTGGTTGGTTGGTTTGTTTGTTTGTTTGTTTGTTTGTTTGTGCGTTTGTTTGTTTGTTTGCTTGTTTGTTTGTTTGTTTGTGTGTTTGTTTGTTTGTTTGTTTGTTTGTTTGTTTGTTTGTTTGTTTGTTTGTTTGTTTGTTTGTTTGTTTGTTTGTTTGTTTGTTTGTTTGTTTGTTTGTTTGTTTGTTTGTTTGTTTGTTTGTTTGTTTGTTTTTGTTTGTTTGTTTGTTTTTGTTTGTTTGTTTTTTTGTTTGTTTGTTTGTTTGTTTGTTTGTTTGTTTGTTTGTTTGTTTGTTTGTTTGTTTGTTTGTTTGTTTGTTTGTGTCTGTCTGTCTGTCTGTCTGTCTGTCTGTCTGTTGTCTGTCTGTCTGTCTGTCTGTCTGTCTGTCTGTCTGTCTGTCTGTCTGTCTGTCTGTCTGTCTGTCTGTCTGTCTGTCTGTCTGTCTGTCTGTCTGTCTGTCTGTCTGTCTGTCCTTGTTTGCGTGCTTGCTTGCTTGCCTTGCTTGCTTGCTTGCTTGCTTGCTTGCTTGCTTGCTTGCTTGCTTGCTTGCTTGCTTGCTTGCTTGCTTGCTTGCTTGCTTGCTTGCTTGCTTGCTTGCTTGCTTGCTTGCTTGCTTGCTTGCTTGCTTGCTTGCTTGCTTGCTTGCTTGCTTGCCTTCTTGCTTGCATGCTTGATTGCTCGCTTGCTTGCTCGCTTGCTTGCTTGCTTGTTTCGCTATTCGCTTGTTTGTTGGTTGGTTTCGCGTCGTGTTGGTTTGATTCTTTTGCTTGGTCGGTTGCTTGGTTTGGCGATTTGTTGGTTGGCTGGCTTGCTCGTTGGTAACCTGGTAGTGTGAGTGTGTGCGTGTGTGTTGTGTGGTGTGTGTGTGTGTGTGTTTGATTGCCTGAGCGGATGCGTTCTTCCACATCATTCTGCAGAACGTGTGCACAAGTCCGGACCAGCTTTGCCCCCGTCCGGCCCCGTCCCATCCACTAACATTGGCCTGACTGACAGGGTGCCTATCAGAAGAATCTCAGAAGAAGCTCAGATAGTCATTTTGCATTTCGGGGAGGACTTCTTACAAGGAGATTGGTATGAACATATACAATTGGGAATTCATCTCGAGTTGCCCAAAACAGATTTGGAGAACCAGTTGTTCAGGGTTCTATCTGCATTTGCAGCTGTCAACTCGGGGCGCTGAGGAACGCCCGTCGCGAGCGCTCGCGGAATGACGTGCCAAGAGCACGGCGCCTCAGGTCTTCCACCGCTGTGTGGGTGACATGATGTTTTTGAGGGTACCCTTTTGGAGTTTTAGCAGGAAGCGAACCACTGAACTTATTGGCATGTGTCGCCTCAGCCTTGCTCAGATTTCCATCACCGGAGATGACATGGACAAGGACCGGGGATTGGGCAAAAGCGGTGAGACTCCACAACGGCTGAGACGAAGACAAGTCTTCCACAAAGAGGCGGTGCCCTGAGCGAGGAAAACTGCAAAGCCGTTTCTTCTTTGATGTATTGGAAGTATCCATGCAACAGCCTGGCACTTTTGCATTGTTTGCTCACGTTAGCATTGCTTCCTGTACAAAGGTTCTGGATAATCATACATGGGCAATGGCTACTTGGGGCTGCGAACTGCACTGGTTGTGAGTCACAAGCTTCAAAGTAAAGAGCCCAGAACTATTAGGGAGGTGTCAAACGCAGCGGGCTTGCAAGAGTGTGCTTTTCCTTTTGGATTCCCTGAAAGCAAACCCAAAAAGGTACCAACTCCTAAAAGGACACCCAATCAGGAATCCGAATGCAGAACGAATCACGGGATTGACCAGGTGTTGATCAGGAGACTCCCCTAGGTGTGTGTGTGTGTGTGTGCTACCATCGCCGCCCGTTGAGCATTTAAGCAGCTGCAGCTTGGGCCCGTCAAGCTATGTTCTTGAGGAATTGTGGAGATTTAGGCAACTTGGACTATCACCTACATTTCCACGCACGAAACCTCCCCCCTCAACAACCAACATTAGACAAACCCCAAACCCACCCGAAAACCCACTCGAAGAGCCCCCGCTGGCCATTCCTCCTTTCAGTGCGCACCCGTGAAGTTCGGACTCAGCTTTCCGATCTCTACGAGTAAAAATGGGTTAGCCTACCAATAGGTACAGTCAGCACACTTGAGAAAATGAGTGGGCCACAATAAGAGCTGCTGGTTCCTAGCTGATTGTTGAGCTTTGCCGCCTTCCAGGAATAGCCCGGCAGCGGGTGGCAAAGTCAAAGCTTGTGCCGCAGATCCATGGTTTAACGAGACGATTTAGAAGACAACTTGACATCCGTCAAGATTCATTTGTTGGAACTGACAAAAACTGCGTTGATCAGCACAAGATCATGAATCCACGCTGCAAGTGCCAGAAATCGAAATTCAAACATGTAGTTAATGAACAAAATAGAGATATATCAAAAATAACAAATTGCAATATAATCAAGAATATAATACATATCATATTTTGATGTTGTTTTCAAAATCAAATATGTTGTTTGGTATTTAATATGTGTTTTTTGTTGGTTGTCTAATTTTAATTGAATTATTATTGTTTTCGATTGATTAATAAATTTGATTTTATAATTTAATTTATAATTATTGTTCTTTGGTATGTTATAATATTATTTTATTTAGATTTGAATTTATTAGTATTTTTTAACTATCAATAAGTTATATGATATATTTTAAATTCGATATTTATGATTGGTATTTATTATAGGAATTTATTTGATTATGATTGAATTCTGATGAATTATAAGAATGATAGGATAATATTTTGTTTTTTATTGTTTATTGATATAAATTTAAATATATATTATTTTTTTTAATATATATTTTTATGGGAGTTGTTTTAAAGGTCTTTGTAAGGAGTTTAATATTCGGGATTATTGGTGTTGATTGATGTAATTTTGAAAAAAAAAATGGGAAAGATTTGAAATCCGTACAAGAAATAAGAATTCCATTGTAAGGGAAGGTATTTTTTGAGTGGTTTTTTAGTTAAATTATTAGTTTGGTATTGAAAAATTGTATTTTTATGTTGGGGCTGTTGTTTTGTTGGAATTATGGAAGTATATATTATTAATTGGTGTTTAATAATGGTGATAATGTATATTATGTATTTTCTTTATGATAAAATTACGATTCTATTTTATATATTATATTGGTATTTTAAAAATTATGATTTCTCGATTTGAGTAATTAAACATATACGATGATAAATCTACGAAAGATTAATTAAAAATATAGTATTTTTTTGTTTTATTAAAAATGGTTGTTTTGAGATAAAGGAATTTAAAAATAAACATTAAATATATATATTGAATTTTTAATATTATATAAATATTTAATAAGTATTTTATATTGATAAAATTGATTGATAATAAAATAAATGTATTTAAATTTTATATAATTAGAATTAATAATAGATTTATTATATTTTTTTATATATTTTATATTATTTTGTTTTATTTGATATATTTGGGAAAATTGGTTTGGGTTATATTTACAAGATATAACCATTTTATATTTGTTTTGGATTGTTTGGGTTATATCGGTGATAATCTTTTATAATTTTATTTTTTATAGGAATTAATTTTTTAACATATTCCAAATATTTCGGGAAAATCGTAATGCCCTATCATATTCTTGATAACACATAATGTTGTATCATTTTTTTTTTTTTTCGGTTATAATATTATGTTTTAATGGATTGTAATTTAAGTGCTTTAGAATTTTCAGATATAAGAATTTTGATTTAATGATTATAATATATAATATTTTGAATTTATTTATTTTTTATATTTTTTTAAACAAAAATAATATTAGATAAAGATAATATTATATTAAAAAATCATATTAAAATATATATATATAATTATTATTATTATTTTTTTTTTGATTTTGAATATTATAAATTAACAATATACAATATTTATAATATAATGCCGATTTTCGGTAAGAAGATAATATATTATTTTTATACAATAATTTAAATTATTATTATATGTATTTTAATCTTAGTTAAATATATATATATATATTTTTAATTTATAATTTAATAATACTGGGGGATCGTTATTTTCTAGTAACGTGCGAGATAAAATCCAAAATAAAAGAATAATAGAATTAATATATATACCAAAATATATTTATATCTTTAGTAATAACATCATTAAATTCATCAATATTCTCGGCATCATTCGATTTAGTAAATTATCGCGCACGACCACGAATTTTAGATTATATATCTACATCTACAATATTATTATCTCGGAGAATGTTCTTTATCCAGTCGTCGTTATGCGTGGCAAATGTAACACGAAGTTAGGTCTGCAATAACGTGCATATATTCGGGTCTATAGTGAGCACGCCGAATGCAATATAATTATTCAAGAATAAGCCCGTTAGCGGCACGGCCCCTTACGACCGAAATAACAATGCAGCTTTCGCAGCGCCCTTGTCGTGTCTTAGGCAAGGGCCCTACGCAAATCTTGTATTATAGTGGCATAAAATACGAAGTAACACAGCCGAATATCTATATGGCTAGGCGTACTAGGTTATTAACGGATGCGTACGAGTATATCGGAGAGAATTCCATCAATGATTCAATGTCCTAACGATGCGAAACATAAAGAATTTTGTTATAAAATTTTCATAAATCGATCGTATACTATTTTATACGGCCTATTTCTTAACGAGATTAACAATTTTAGTATAGGCCGCTCGTACAATGATACGACAAATCGTTTCATGATCGAATATATTAAAACCATAAAAATAGTTTGTTTCGCTCTCAAAAGCCCATAACACTCAAAAAGCCCTTATAAAGTGGCTAAGGCTATAGCCCGCTAGAATGGTTTTCGCTGTTGGGCATCTTGGGCAAGACGCCCATAGCTTTGCCTACAGCTCCGTCGGCGCTTTCGAGAAAAGGCTCGTCTGACGATCAAGGAATATCTAGAAAATTTGATGGAATATCGTATAAGCCGAGCTCTTAGGGGCTAAGGTCTAAGCCATGGTGAGTGTGCGAAGAATTAGGTAAATTTTATGGAATCCGTGCCGGTAAGACATTTTTTGCAACTCAAGCACTAATATATGTTTGTCATATGTATTAAAACATATATAATCTTCTATGCGAAATGCATGCCGTTCTCCAAATCCAGGTCGCAAAATGCATTGAGGGCCGGACTAATCGTTCTCAGATACGTCTGGAAAAAGAGACCACAAACCAGGCACGGACACAGAGACATGAGAATTATACACTTATCGGAAAGTGCATAGCACGATTTGCCACATTAGTATAATACAGGATCGTAATATAAATAAATATAGACAAAAATACAAACTATTATGAATAATACCCAGAAATGCAAAGCATTGGACCATCCGAAAATATATAAGATCCTATATCCCTGGCCCCCCTGTTTTGAAAAATATATATTTGATTGCCTCTAACTACCATTCCTAAGGGTATACAATTCCGTCATAATACCGTTATAACCCTCGCAACTCCGAGTGGTAACCAAAATGAACCTTAAGCCTTTGTTTTAGACCCTACCCAAGCAAAACATTTCGAAAGATTACACTCTGCACTAAACTGGAGACCTAAATATCTAAAGGCGTGCAAAAATATATAACCAATAAAAGGCGGCAAGATGAGAATAGACCCATGGCCTGTTAACCTAATTCTTTATCTGTAAAATATAACGATTTCGTTTAAAACCCGAATCATGTTTGCAAAATATTTCCTATAATTTCGATAATTACACTCTAAACAAACACTAAAATCTCAAATCCAAGCAAATAAATAGAAATAATTACTAACTTCTTTTAAAACATATCCATAAAATCCAATTCATTCAATAATATAATATAAGTAAATACCCAACAAAACGGCAATTATAACGATCATCCCAATATATGGTGGTTGTTCTAAAATCCTTTGTCTCGAAATGGCCATTCTTCGCGAATAAAAAAAATATGTTCGTGAATCTTTCGCGGATTCATCGCCATACCCTTTTTCTTGCTCAAGTCAGAAAATCGCTAATTTTAAATGCCAGCGTAGTGCGCGAAATTCGATTCCACAACTCCCGTTGTAAAGTCGCAACTTTCATCACAGGGGGTAGTACAGGACACGCACGGGCTGGAAAAACGCAGCTTTTCGTAAGCCGTGCAGCTCCAGTTTAAAGTCGCAATTTTCCAGACCAAGCTAATATACTAACAAGCGCGGCGCTCAGAAAGTACCTCCCCCTTACAATCGAAGCCGCTTTCGCGGATCTTTCACGGAATTTTCGCGAAAAACCACCCACGTTTCAGAACGAAAAGGCGCCGAGTAAACACCCACAGCAAGCATATATATACAGGTTTGGGGCACTAACCAGCCAAGCAGGGTATCAATCTGTAGCCTCACCAAGCTTTTTCGGCGCAAAATCAACAAAGTGTTATAATCAACGTAAA